AACATTTTACATCTTGGGGGGCTTCCATTAATCACGTGATGTTTTTAGGGGGAGGGGGGGTTGAACAAAAATCACGAAATATTACGTGGGAAAGGGGAGGGATATAGTAAGATATCACGTGTATTTTTTTAACTAATTTTTTTAAAAAAAAGTTCAAACATTTTCAAAAAAAAAATCAAAAATGTTTTTTCACTTAACTAAATAACACGTGTGTTTGGTGGTGGAGGGTGGCTAATTTTGAATATCTCAATGTATCACCAAGGGGGGGGGGGCTCCAAAATCCTTGAAAACTCGTTCACGTGATTAATGGACAACCCCCTATATGTAATGGCTATGGTATAAGCCATTGTTTCATTAACTTACCCAAGTATTTGTTACATAAGCTATTTTAAGATTTTTTAATTTATATCAATGATTCAAATGTGTTTATAACTTAAAAATTACACTTCCAAATAACAAATTTATTTAGTGATTTAATGCAGAGTGATAAAAATTAATGCAACATTTAATTTGCTGGACTTCTTCTAAGGCGATGTCTATGTAGCGGAATATCTATTCAAAACCTTAAACGAATTACCCATGGATGTATATGTAATTTCTCAAACTTTAATAACTGTGACATTTTTATATATTTATTTGATGTCTACAGTAAAATTTAGCCATGTCACTATTTCAGACAGTGACTTTTCTTTACGAGTGTATTTTCTGCAGATGTGACGTTGCTGTACGAGATATCAACCGTCCAATTAAGATTTTTTAATAATTATCAATAAAAATGTATTCAAAACTAAAAAATTACACTAAATAATGATTAGAATTCTCAATAATCTTTCGCACAGTGATAAAAACTGAAGCAAAATATTCGACTTACTAGGTGTAGTCTATAGGCTACACTCGTAACCAATAATATATTATTTTTTAGTATGTATAGTGTGCTGAAGTAGGATATATTAGGTAGTGTCACAAAAATAATTATTTTTTATTATTATAAATAAAGTTCCATTCTATGTTGGTTACACGTTCAGAAAACCTTCTACATAAAGTACGACGTCTGTTCAAAAAGTACCCGGAATTTTCGTTTTTTCAAAAAAATATTTATTTATTCGTCTACATTAATGTGGTCCCCTTCAAAGTAGTCCCCCCCAGATATAATACACTTATGCCAGCGTTTTTTCCAATTTTCGAAGCACCCTTGATATTCACTTTTGATATGTCCTTGAGCACTCTCAGCGATTTTCTTCAATCGAGGAAAACCGCCGTCCTTTCATGGGTCTCTTCAACTTTGGGAATAGAAAAAAGTCACACGGAGCCATATCTGGTGAATTTTTGCACTTTGCAACACTTTATTTCATTTTTTACGCAAAATTTAATACAAATTCTTTGACTTTTCAATCTCTTCCATTGTAAAAATCGCCGAGCTCAGAAAAACACGTCGAACCTTAGCGACTACCACAGACAAAGTAAACAGTGAATATAGCTGAAAATTTCATCATACTTTAGGGGCATGTATACCAACACAATAAAAAAAAATTTGACAATCAGACACTCCAGACCCGCGAAATTTAATTATTAGTAATTCCGGGTACTTTTTGAACACACCTCGTATGTACGATCAAGTTAGGATTTTTAAAAAATTATGTACACGTAAAAGATTTATATATTTCCATCTGAAATACAACTTGCAACTTTATTTCATGCCCTTGTTTGTGAAAGGTTGACGTCAAAGCTCTCGAATAAAGAGAAGTAATAACTTTTTGACAAAATTCTAACTGTTATGATTGCTCGCTATATCGAAATCTTTCACCAGAATAGATATTAGTTTTCGCATTTATTTGTCTATTTCTATCACGAAGGAAAATTTTGTACTGCAATATGTCAAGTAATTTGAAAATGCTTTTTCTGAATATTTTACTATAAATAAAATAATTCTATATCATTTTCCATATTCCGTAAGCCGAACACGTAACACATGTCTATTTCAAACTTGTTTATCCTACGGATTCTGAGCGTCTTGCTGTGTGCGCAAATGAAATAAGTAGTAATGTGTGCGTATCGAATAGAATCGCCCACATTTGCCCAGAGATAACCCGAAGTAAAAGTTCTTCAGTCCTTTTAGCAACACCCAATCCGCACAAAACGGCCTTTCTTTGAATAATTTATTGCCGTAACGGGTAAGTTTAAATGGGCGCCTGTATATATTCATAGACGAAACACTGGTGGATGTTTAGCTTACATTATAACACAAAATCACTCATTTTTCTAAAACCGAGTTTTTATAATTTATATCTCCTAATTTATGAAGTTCAAACATTTTACGAGATTGTGTTTTGGGTGGGTATTTTAAAAGCAACCAAAATTTGCTTAAATTACTTACTTCTGAGTTGAATGAATGATTTGTTTTCCGAAAGAAGGATTACTAAATTTGCTGTATATGTTGGATATTATAAGAAGTAATTTAGGGGCCAATTATGTTTTAAAATAGACCAATGTTATGGCAAGGCTATGTTACTCTACGAGTTTTATATAAAATTGTACTAAAAACTGGCAAAATTCTATGTATTTGTTATGCCATCAATCGTTTTACACATAAACTCCACTCAAATTAAGTGAGATTCATTTTTTGATAATGCGCATTTTATATCTAAAATGCCTATCTGCATTTTGACAGTTTTTAGTACCATTTTATATGAAAAAAAAAGCAGTGTAACATAGCCTTGCCATAACATTAGAGTATTTTTGGCAGAAATATCCCCTTCATTTTATTTTAAGACCTGCGTTCCATCTAAAAGCCCTTTTCGAGTATTACGTATATATCAAATGGCTTATTGAAGCATTTGTATCAACTTGATCACAAATTATTGCAGTATCACAGAATTATAAGACATGTGGTTCAAGTACTAATATTTGATATTACTGAAATTGTATACTTATATCATATAAAATTTGAAGAGCGATAGTGAATAATAATTTAGAAAATGCATATCATTTCTGCAGAGTAATATAGATTGCTTTCTCCTTCAGCTCTCTGATTATTACTAGCTTGAAAGCTCTCGTTTCGTTGTCTAAGCACAGAATTGAATTAATATTTACTCTCATGGCCATTACTGTAAACGACTTCTAAGAAAGTCCGACGGTCAGCTTTATTTTACTAATTGGAAAATTGCTACACAAAGTCTCTTACTCTGGTAAATATTTTGAAGCACAATGTTAAATTCATCCTTTGATTAAATATTAACGTGAGCATTTCTCTGAACGTAATTGTTGTTGTAACGAGTTTCTATTATAATTGTAATATTTAAGCAGCATGTGAAGTTGAGAATTAATTAAAATATAGGTGGAATAAATAGAATCACTTACGCCTTTTGGAACTTTGTATCCGCCTACGACTGCTTCTGACTGCAAGCTTCTGCCATTTCCCAGAATAACAGGCTTCATTCTATAGAAACAAATAATATGTTAATATAATTATTCTCATATATATTCACATACACACACACACAACACATATATATATATATATATATATATATATATATTTATATAGTGAGTACGGTAGTGACAGTCATCATAAGAGTTAAACTATACTGATTTTGATATAGGGACCAAAGAGAGAAACATGAAGTATGCTTGTATAAACAAGTTTCCATTATTGCTTTCAGTCAGTGCTATTTTTTCAGTTAGCGGATACTGGTCATCTTTTTTTTAATGTAATTTGTTACTTAATTGTGAGTACACCCCGTAACTTAATTTAATTTTTTGTGTTAATACTTTTTTGTAGCATTAATTAAGTTTATGTCTATTGTTATCTATTCATTAGGCACTATATTATCATGTCGTTGCAAAAAATCCTATAAAACGATACTAAAACAAGCCAGACTGCAGAAGACGTCACAAGTCGATAAAAAGTTAAATAGAATAGCAGCCAACGTCTTATATTATACATCCCACTCGTTTTTCGCCTTCTACTTATAGATAGCATCTTGTACATTAGGAATACAAGTACTCTTCGATTCAGGTGGGAAAAATCTCATTATATCGATAAGGAGTTCGAAAAGAGATCATTTACAAGTCATTACTGAGACGCTATAAATAAATATCTATTCTTCAATATTACATGTGGCTTTTTGTGCCGAATTTCTTTGATATTCAGTTGCATATTATCTTAAAACAGCATATATTTTTAAAGATTTATGAGCAAATTTTAATTCAAAATATTACATTTAAAAATTTAACGTAAATTTATAATTAATGATTTAAACTGGTTTGTTCTACTTACTGGTTTGGTAAAAATTAATTGTTTTTGTGTTTAATCATATGGAAAGCGTCTATGAAAATTTTAACCAAGTACTTGCCATTATTTTATCATAAGATTTAGAACATTTTTATCGATTCTCAACATTGCTCTATATTAGAAATCTAGGAAATGAAAAGTTTGTTATTTCATTTGACAATATTTTTTCAAAAGTCAGAATTTTCATTTCATTAGAATTTTACACATATATATGTCCTATATATAGGACAGAAAATAGTTTTTTTCGTCATGAATTTATTTTTGCAACTGGATGGGTTTCTATTTTTCCACATGTTGAAGAAAAATGCGAAATGGAAATTTCATTCTATTTTCAGAGACATAAAAAAATATTTGATGTGAATTGTCATTTTTCCTACTAGGTTTACTATATGCAATAACGTTGAAGGAAAATGAGGAATGAAAGTTTTGTTCTATTTCTACAATGCAATACAATATCATAGCTATAATAGAATTATTTTTGAAAGAATTGTCATATTTTCTCTACTAGTATTCACCACTTGTAATAAATTTTTCTTAGACTCTTATTGAAAAAAGTTATCGAATAGATAACTATTTTATTTAATCAAAAAAAGAAATATGAATTTTAGCGTGGGATGGGAAACTTTTTTGGCTTACTAAGATAGCAACATAACTTGCTGATGATTCGCGTCAAGAAAATATCTGAAAAAGTAACCGTTGGAAATATAGAATTGAATTGTTATATTATGAAATTGCTCTGACTGTAGTCCCAGGCTTCAATCTGGCAAGAACTTTTGGAACAACTTTTTGACCACGGTAATTTGAGAGCACAATTAATGATAGTACCTATTTTCATACTAGAGGGGTGGTAGGAGTGAAAATTTAGATACCTACCTGATCAAGTAGGTTTTTAGTATCAGTTTGTAAAATGCGATTGTTTATTTTTTAATAATTTTGACAGCTAAGAAGCTGATGGAGTTGTTTTGTTTTTTTTCGAAAGTGAACTGAATATGTTTGTTAAAAGAATTAAACCAGTGAGTAATAAGTCAAAATTTCGTGGGAGTATACTTAGTATCTACATGTACTGTATTTATTAATTGGTCACATGTTGATTGACTGTACTCTTATTCATAAAAATATAGGATATTATATACTGAGAATCAGCCTGTATCAACCTGAAGTTTTACTCATAAAAAGTAGTATAAGGCCCTTTCCACTCGTACATTGGAGTAATACAATGTATTTTTCCGCCATTACGGCGGCATCCGAATCAAAAGGGTTGAATACTTTAACGAAACTAGCGAATTAATTTTACACATTCCAAATAATTTGCCTATGCATACAAAAGATCTAGAAATTAATTTGTATCGCACAATTAATGAGTATCATAGAACACATGATTATATGAAACAACTTTTCACTTTTCACGAAACATTTTCCATAAATTCGAAACACACGTTTTCGCATGGTCAACATCTTATACTTAGTAGATTATTATGAACGAGAGTAATGTTTCCAACTAAAAACAGTAGATGTGCTCAAATGACCATGGTGAAAAAGTAGTGCATTCGTCTTTTAACTAATTCCTTGTTTTTATCTATATTTTTTTAAATTTTTGCTTATATTCGATGTAAATAATTTTACATCGACTCTATATCCTCTGGTCTACCCTAAACATACCTCAAAGCCTCTTTGATGCAGGCTTTCAGATACTGCATCTTTTCCAAAGCCTGAACATCGATCGGGGTGCCCGGTGTGGGTAATATGGATTTCAATTCATCGCGTAGTCTCCTTTGCTTCTCCTGGTTCTGTGATAGTTGATATATGGTCGTAGTCATGGCTACAGATGTCTGAATATGAAAAGACCAGGTTGAATTAATGGCTGAAACATCGACCGATAACGTATATGTACTTTGTGAAATAATATGATACATGAAAAATTCGTGACGATGGAGAATTTGGAAAAAGGTCGATGGCATTTGGTATAAATGATAGCAGTTTATGTACATCGTACATGGTATCGGATGACATAAAAGATAGTTTTCGTTTGTATGTATTTATGTATTCTAAAGACAGATGATTCTATCAGATGACATAAATGATAGTATTCGTTTGTATGTATTTTTGACTTTAACCTGAAGTACTAGAAGTATATCTTGCATATTGTGAAAAAAATTAAGTTACATTACATTTATACACCATGTGCGAACACGTGTGTATTCCATGTTGAAACATATATGATTCCAATAAATTAATAGCGAATGCTTTGAAATAAAATATAAAATTTATTTTAAGCTGTACGTTTCAAGAACCATATGTATCTTATCATTCAGGTAAATTTATACAACAATAAATATAAATTTATGATAAAATTCTAATCAGAATCAGAACCGCTCAGGAAAAAATTGTACTGTATTGAAGAAAAGCTTTAAAGCTTTAAATGTTTAAGATGTTAAAGATGCTTTTTCTTCAATATAATTGTATTAGTTTTTTTTCTGATTGCAATGTTATTATTAATAAATTGTGTTATTATTAATTTTATACTCATTATTGTATATTTTTAGCTGAATGCGGAGATGCATACGTTTTTCTACACCTAAAATTTAAAATAAATATAGTTCAATTCGGTACATTAACTGTTAAATATATACACTAGGGTGGTCCTTATAATGGACATTTTCGAATTTCCTAGCTCCCAAAGGCACAAATGGTTCCAAATTGATAAAAAACAATTCCTTGAAAGTTTTAGCTCTTAATATTAACTTTTAGATAAACCGCAATTCAATAAAAAATTTGTATGGAAATGGCATGAAAAATTTTTCAAAAATTTTGCAGAGCGTCGAGTTTTCAATGAAAAATAATACGAATTTTCATTTTTAATTTATTTGTCGCTGAGTTATACCTAAAATTTTTTTTTTAATTTTCAAAATTTTTTCTATGCTATTTCCATGCAAAGTTTGATTGGATTGCGCACTATCTAAAAGTGAATATTAAGAGCTAAAACTTTCAGAGAATTGTTTTTTATCAATTTGGAACCATTTGAGCACTTGAAAGCAAGGAAATTTGTAAATGTCTATATTAAGGACCACCCTAATGTACACAAAAATATTTTTTGATCATTGCATTTTATTTGGTTTCTTAAGAACTTCAACACGTTAATTGCCACGTCAGTCATATGTGTCTGACGCTAAGAATTTCTACATCAGCCATATCAGATATATATGTCTGACATACGAAATTGATGGACAAATAAAAACCGTTTTAATATGGCCATGCCAGCCAAATGTGTGTGACGTAAAACATAGTGTTTTTCCAGGAATTTTGGCAAAAACAAAATATTTTTTTTGATACCTTAAGTTTTCTTTCCTTGATACATTATAAACTAAATTTTCTAAAAAAAATACCATGGCCCATGTGACTTTTTTCTAATAATACGCCGATTAACTTGTTAAATTATTGTATTTTTTTTTAATTATTTATTTTATTGGTAAGAATTAAAAAATTAATAGTGTGTCTAAAGATGAAATATCTATTAGACACACTATTGAACTAGTAATAGTATTCGAACATAAATTTTTCTATTTATAATCTTCCAATATTATGCTACTGCAAATATTTTTAGTCAACTATAGTGTTAATTGTAACAGATTTAATTGCAATTAATTTTCTACTTTTCTTTTTACAACGCAGAAAAATAATGTTTTTTTATAAACAAACAGTTATATCACGGAATTTTTTTCACCTCGTTCGACATTCACTAAATCTTTATATACACAAACTCATTAGATAGGCGTGTCGGACAAATATATTATCAAATTATATTTCCCCAAAAATCGATACTAACGAAACAACTTTATCTATGATTTTCTCGCGTGAATATTCATAATTAATTACGAAGTACGATAATGAAGCAACTTTACGAGCTTTACGGGGGTTCGATTTGAAAGCGTTATTAATATATAAAGGCGAACACATATGAATAGGATAACGATCAATTTATAACATGGTTAAATAACCTCGAGGGCAGGTTGTTAAAATTAGTTATGGAGACATGTATTTGCTTGCAGAGCCCTCAATTGCTTATTTATACAGGAAATTCATGGTGTTGAATTAAAAGTCCAAATACATATGGCCATAGAAAATATAATTGAGATAAGCCACTGTAATTTATATAAAATCATATATTTTCAAAAATAATTAAAGTTTATATATTAAAATGCTATTCTGTATATACAAAATGATTCATCATTATTTCTTACCGTATCTACGCCCACCAGTAGGAGATCAAGTGCCAAAACAGCAGCCAATTTTGGATTTGATGTCTCGTTTAGGATTTTCTGAACTATAGAGTAATTACCAGAGGCATTTGATTTGTCCATATTTTCCATCGCTATCGATATGTACTTCATGCACAATCTGTAGTGTTTGCAAATAGCTTAATGTGATTTTAATGCATTTGGAATGCTATGCTATCAAGTTAACAGAACCTAATGTTCTATTATATTATATATAATGTGCTGCTGGTCTTATAGTTAAGCATACATTGACTGTATGATTTAAGCAAATGATAAAAATAACTATAATCTATAATCCCGATATAAAAATCTATTCTAAAGCACTTACTCTCTGAACTCATCCAAAGCTCCTATATATTTCCTATAACTCTTCGTGGGATAAATTCTCCAAAGAGGTACTCGAAGCTCTACTTCAGCAACGTTCCAGAAGAATGTGTTTATAGCGCTTATAATTCTTTGTGGTTCTGAATTTGGTTCCAAATCCCGTGATAAGCACCCTAGTCTTGTATCTAATGCCACCCGTCCAATTGCTAAATTAAAAAATGAATTATTATTTTGAACAATACCTAGTTTGCATAATGAAGTTTCTGAATTAAAGGAAAATAGTGCATACAGACGCGATAATCTATTGTTTAACGTGAACCAACATTTTTAATATGTGCTGTAAAAAGCTTTATTATATATGCTATGAGCTTTATACGTGCTTTCAGTTGAAGCTCGAAAACTTTAATTTAAAATGTATTCAACTAATGCATTCATACTCACATTCTAAAGCCCATTTGTATAGTTCACCTAAAAAGTTTCCAGGTAATTCCTGATTTCCATCTCTCATCTCATGAATCCTTAAAAATTCATTTTATATATAACGTATTTGCTCGAATGAACTTATTACATTACATACCATAATTTTTATAATGACTTAGTTTCATATATAGGTTATGCATCTAATTAAATATATTAGAAAAATCATACAGAAGTTTGATTTGATTCTTTTTATATTAAAATTCAAATATTGAAAAGCAAATTTATCCCGATTTTTTTATACAAGCGGATGCTTATACAGAATAACTAATAAATATTTATCTCTAGTACTATTAGTGCTATTTCAATCAACTATATATATATTAATAAAAGTCTTTATCATTTTTTTTCTCCACTTATATTACCTTTGCATAAAATCTCCTGCAATTTCATCCAGAGGTCCAACAAACCGTTTTGCAGTTGCAGGTTGCAACATTAGTTGTTGAACTTGGGCTCTAAATGCGTCCCATTTTTCACCATGCCTGCATTATAATTAATCATAATTTTAATCAATATTAAATAAATAATAATGTTGCTCTTCGAAAATATTATGAGTTTATAATTTAAATTAATATTATTACTTACACTCCAATGATACCAGCGTCTTTACCAAAAAAATCCTTGCGCAGCACTGCTTTATAGTGATGCAAAGAAGGCATAGATGGTCTGTGTGGAAGAGTTTCTTCTCTCCTGAAAACACGTCGAATTTCCTCACCATCAAAAACGAATAAGAGGTCTGGATGACCCACTAATCCACCAACACGGACCACATTTCCAAAATCCTTATGTAGAGACATCATTACTTTATCCAATTCATGAATCTTGTATTGTCCTGAAATAGTAGAAATAGTTAATTATTCTGTGGCTTTAAATTTATCATCTATTGCTTAATTTTATATTTTCTTGTGGAAATATTTTGCTTGTGAAATTTATTGGGTTTCGTTTTTAAGCAGATTAATTAACACAGTGTATTTACGAACTCATAATGAATTGTTTTTCTTACTTCTCGAGACTTGTTAATTTGAATATCTAATATTTAAGAAAATAATCAAACGTTTTTGGCTCTAGGTTTGCTCTGCAGTTTCTAATCTTAGAGCAATATGTGTTTTTTAATGAAACTTTTTTTGGTATTTAGATTTTATATTTAAAAAAAAAATGAATATCAATTTACAGGTAACTATTTTATGTTTTTTTCATTAGTAAGCTGCTGAAGCCAATGGTTCTGATATAGAAGTCTCAAACATACTATCAAATCATTCTCAAGAATATATTTTTTATAATTTTCAAAAAGTTTGGAAAATAAATTATATGCTAGGTTTCTAGCTAATATAAAAAAGTAGATAATTTATTACTATTTAATGCCATGATACAATAATAGTAATGATCTTTGGAATAAATTCTAATTTATGTTTTTATTTATTTATTCGAATAAAAATTTCTTTTATCATTAGAATACTAAAATATTAATTTCGCCTATTGAGGTACATAGCTTAAATTATATCTTTTTATTTTATTCCCTGGCACATGACATTTGGTCTAATTATCTATTTTGTGCAATCATATTGTTATATTTAAAACTTTAAAATCAATATATAAATAAATATGCTAATTATAACAGACTACTTAGTTCTATTTTATGCTTTATTTTTATGTACATAAATTGTTATGAATTTATCAGCTCATATTCTGCAGACAGAATGATTGATTTAATAAATAACTAATAATAAAATGAAGCATTTTAATTTTTTATTTTATTATTTAAATACGTATTTTGTATAAATTTTTATGCCACTATGCATGAAATTTAAGCGTTTTAGGTTTCAGGATAATAATCATCGTTTAATGAGCTTCCGAAAGTTTAGAAATACTTTTAGAGGTTTTAGCCTAATTGGCAGATAAGGTATATATATAATATAGAAATTAGAGAGCTTATTAATGAAGACACTTAATTTTTAGTGATTTATTAAAAAAGTTTGAAAAATGTTAAAATTAGTTCTGAATTTTTGTGACCTACATTCTAAATGATCGTTTATTTTGTAAATGCTATCAGTTTTATATATGAAAATAATTGAACACTTTTCGGTACTTTAAACTTGTTATATATTTTTTATTTATTCATGAACGTGATGAACCGAGTCGATTTTGATGGGATATAAATTTGCGTTTTATAGCTTTTAAAATAATTGAATTAAATTGTATTAAAATTATGTAAAGAAAATTTGTTAACTGTTGGGAATAGGAAACCTTTATCAACATTAATGCTTAATATAAATTATAACATTAAATAGTTATATAGCTGTAAATGATGTTAATTATAACCAATCGTTCAATTTATTTATTTAATTATTTAATTAGACTGTAATTTATATTCGAAACGTTGAATGCAATTTATATTTGAAAGAGCATTTTGTATATTAAAAACACTTATTTTTGCATTTTATATGAATATTTCAATAGACAAAATCCAGTAAATTTATTTTACTAGTTTATATGATCAGTAAATTTAATGATGGCAACAAATTTTTACAGTAACATCATGAAAAAAATTAAGTCTGTAATTTTAAACCACTTTGTAATTTTTAAGTGAAAATTGATTAATGTTTTTTTAATATTCAAGTTCTTTCACGAAATTAACCCTAAATTGCAGGATAGCAAAGGTGAACGAGCTTTTAAAGTTTTTAAAAATGTTTCAGTAAAAGAAACTGATCTACATTTGATCATTATAAAATGTATTTCAAATTTAATTTCGCCCTAAATAGTAACAGCTTATAACCTTATTTTAATAAATCACATATGTTTTTTCTTTCAATATTTCTTCTATGGCGGGCTTATATGATGTTTAATGTAACCAATTATTTAATTTTTTCATTTAATCAGACTGTAAATTACGCCTGTATATAGGTGTAATTTACAGTCTGATTAAATGAAAAAATTAAATAATTGGTTACATTAAACATCATATAAGCCCGCCATATATATATATATATATATGAATTTCACATGGGTATTTGAACTGACATAGGTAAATCTGGGTTATAAGATAGGTAATTTTATTATGATGATGGCATTATAGACCATCTTCAAAATTGAAAACTTTAATATAAAACTATTTTATTACTTTTCAAAAATCGATTATTATCTCAGAGATAATTGAGTACTCATTAAAGCAAGAAAGTAAGTTAATTGTTTTAGAGATGAACTTAGAACTTTATATTTTTATTAAGCTTTTTATACTAATGCTCTTATTTATTTTATATGGTGTTTCTTTAAGCAAAATTTTAGTTTCATTATGCTGACCTACTTTTTGCTATTAGAAAATACATTTTGACTATAACCTAATCCTAATCTTTCTTGAGCAAATTTATTATGTAAAAATTGATTCTCGGTAATGATTTAGCGATGAATTGTATATGGTCTGTAATTTTTTAAGTAGAAGTAAGAAATGCTGACTTTCTTCATATTATTAGAAAATGTATTTGATTATTGATTTCAACCCTGCACAGTATCTTTCGAAATAATCAAGAATCCCTAAAAAACTTATAACCTAATTTTAATATATCAAATGCCTCCTTTTCCCTCAATATATCACCTATGAAGGGTGCAAATCTCCAAGTATTTCCTATTAAGACATCTTAAAAATTGAAAACTTCAATATGAAACCACTCTATCATTTTTCAAAAATTGATTGTAATATAAGAGGTAAATGGGTACTTTATTAAAGTATAAACCTAAAATAAAGTAAGATAGTAAGTTCATTGTTTTAGAGATGAATTCAGAACTTTATATTTGCTATTCAAACTAACGCTCTTATTTTATATGGTCAATTTTTAAGCAAAATTTTTGATTCAAGTTACTGATCTACTATTTGTTATTAGAAAGTATATTTGATTATAACCTAATCCTAATCTGACTTGAGCAAAATTATTATATAAAAAAAGATTATCGATAAGCTCATCGATTTAGCGATGAATTATATATGGTCTTTAATTTTGAAGCAAAATTTGTAGTAAGAAAAGCTGACTTTCTTCATATTAGAAAATGTATCTGATTATTGATTTTGATCCTGCATAGTATCTAGGGATCGTTCAAGTATTACGTAAGCAGATTTATTACAATTATTTACCCCCCCATCCCCCTTGTCAGCAAAAGTAAGCAAAGTTCTTACCCCCTACCCCCATGCTTACGTAAACATTTTGCTATTAATGTAAAAAAAATAAAAATACTACCTATGACGTAATCATCATCCAGTCTCCCCTGCCCCCCATGTCAACCCAAAATAAGCAAATCAACAACCCCCCCCGCCTCCCTATAGTGCTTACGCAATACTTGAACGGCCTCCTAACGAAAACACCAAGTATCTTTAAAAAACCTTATAACCTAATTCTAATAAATCAAATTCCTCTTTTCCCTCATATATCACCTATGAAGGGTGCAAATCTCCAAGCATTTCCTATTAAGGGCAGCTCCTTGGGTCCCGGAATCTCTTCGTACGCCTTGGGATAGGTCCTCGTCGTTTCTTCTACCTTCTTATCCTGTCCGTGGATTATTCCTGTTAGCTCATCAGGCGTTATCGTTATCGCCGAAGAGAAACTCTTGCTAACTCGCAAAACCTTGCTTGATGTTCTGCTGGCAGCGTTAACCGACATCCTGCCTCAAGATCTGTCGATTAGATAGATGATAATTAATTGTTCTTTATCACGGAAATTAGATGATCTAGATAAAGAGGTGTTGAGTTGATATAAAGTTCGGGATAGATTAATCAAATCACGTGAAATATATTTTGAAGGGTCTGAGGAATATTTTTGTAGATTAATTGATCGATGATGATCAATCATTTATCTTTGCGGAATGTATTTAAGGAAATAATTTGAATTACTGCACGATTTTATTTACAAGACTTTTTTTCACTATGTTTTCACTTCCCGAAGGAGGTTCATGTTTTCACTGCGTCTCAACTTATTCTGAATTGAATGAGACCAAATTTGGAAAATGTGTATGTGTGTTTGTGTGTGAGTCGATTTTTGGCCTATCGACGACGTTTTCTCAAAAACGGCTGGAATAAATAATATATAAAGTTCGGGATAGATTAATCAAACGGAACGTAAAATAAATTTTAAAGGGTCTGAGGAATATTTTTGTAGATTAATTAGCATGCGAGCGATGATGATCAATCATTTTTCTTAGTATTTAAGGAAATAAATTGAATTACTGCACGATTTTATTTACAAGACTTTTTCACTATGTTTTTAACTTCCCGAAGGAGTTTTACGTTTTCTCGGAGTCTTAACTTATCTGAATTGAATGAGATCAAATTTGGAAAATGTGTATTTGTGTTGATTTTTGACCTATCGACGACGTTTTCGGGATAGATTAATCAAACGGAACATAAAATAAATTTTGAAGGGTTTGAGGAATATTTTTGTAGTAATTAGCGTGCGACTGTAGAGCGATGATGATTAATCATTTTTCTTAGTATTTGAATTAAATAAATTGAATTACTGTACGATTTTATTTACAAGACTTTTTTCACTGTGTTTTTAACTTTCCAAAGTAGTTTTATGTTTTCTCGGCGTCTCGACTTATTCTGAATTGAATGAGACCAAATTTAAAAAATGTGTATTTATGTGTGAATCGATTTTTGACCATTCTTGGACGTTTTCCTAAAACGGCTAGATCGTTTTTAAAAATTTAAAAGCCATTTATATGAAAGTCAGTAAAGTATAACATGTTTCGTCTACTTTTAAGACTACAATTTTGAATTTATTTTAAAATTTCAAAAACTTTTCGAAAGATTATGGTTTGAAATCGTGTTGATTAGTTTTTGGTAAAGATTGACCAAACCGTTTCTTGGTAATTAAATATTGAGTTTTTTTTTGACGATTTTAATGAAATTCTATATAGCAGTAGGTTATGATAGGTCTGTAATAACATACTAAAATATAATAGAGTTATGATAGGTGGTTGAATTACAAAAAAAACTATGAAAGTGTAGAATTTTGCAGAGCGATTTTAATCAGAATCTATGCCGAACGTCTATATATGTTTTGTGTTTCAGGTAGCTATAGATTACAGTTGACGTCTACATTTTGATAAAATACATTTTTAGAGCTCAAAATAGATGAGATAATTTTTTTATTTGCATAGTTTTATTGTCAATCAAAATAATATACATTTTTAAGACAATATGCTGGGTGTCAATGCATTTAAGAGATTATCTAGTATGAGATATCTCTCTTTTTTATTTTTTGACATTTTATTTAAAATTGTATGGCCATTTTTTTTAATCTTTGTGTGGAATATTCAAAATAAAATTTGTGAAACAAATAGTTATCATGCAATATTTACAGATATTATAAGTGTCTTTGAAAGATATTAATTGGAAATGGTATTGAAGAATTGTTAGTGAAAGCGATTTTTTTTAAATAATAGTTGAAAAGTTTGCTTGAATAGCTGAAATTCAATTTTTATATGTGGGGAGGTTTATGCAATTTTTTTCAAGGCAAAATAATACTTACAACTAGTATACTAGACCTTTTCGACCGAGTTTTTTTTAAATATTTTTATTCAAGAGACTGGCGAATTTCTAGATAGTAGATTTCTGAAATATATTTTTTAACCTTTTGCAGTGAATTTAAATTTATTAACAAAATATTACGATAAAAATAATTGTACGCACAAAGAAATAACATTAGAAAACACTGCATTTCACCATTTCCCTATTTTTTTAGATAGAGCAATATACATAGATTATTTTTTCTTTGATTTATATTTATGGTGTATACTAAAAGTTATAATGAAGTTTTATGTACAATACACTGATATAAAATCTGTGAATAACATACGTACAATGTGTTCTGATTAATATTACGAATGCGTATTAAATTTGTCTAGACAAAACATTACGTGAATACAGTCCATCAATGGATCACTGAACTTTTCCATAGAATTAATCTGGCTATTTTTCGCACTGATATTGAGGGATTATTGATAATGAAAACAGCGGTGCAATAGAGCCATGAAAGCATAATAAATTTTATCTTTAGTTAGTTAGATGGTAGTTGTACATAGAGTAATTATTTTCTTGAAAAATTTATTTGGGGATTTCATCTGCCTCCTCTGACTTTTATTGATGATATTAAAATGTCGACACATGCGTGCTTTTTTTACTTCTCATAACGAAATCATGAACTCACATACGCAATCTTAAACCGTCGTACCCAAAAAATTGAAAAAGGTCATAAATCGATTATATAACATTAACATTTTATTCCGAAGACCGACCTATTTATCCCACTAAGCACTCGCATCTCTTCGTTACGGCCGACTGTGTGTTTATTATTTTTATTCGATTTCATAATCCAGGTCAAATTAACATATTCAGGAAATGCGGAGATTTTATGTTGTGTGATTCACAGATTTATGTTAATTCAATGTTAGTAAATATATAAGAAACCACGATCTTTCTACGAGATTTTCAATGCTACGACATTGCCATCGTAAAATATCGATTCGGTTTCTGCGGACGACCGCAGAATTTAGACTATGTGGACCAGAAGTATTTGATGAGATGAACTGGCAGGAGTCTTTAGTTGTTCATTTCAAGTTTAATAAAAAATAATTATGAATTCATTAGACATTTGTACTAAAAAATAAAGTTAATCAAAAAATAAACGTGGAAAATACGTCGGCCAATTTTCAAATGAGACTTTTTGTGATGGATGATTTTTGAGATGCTATTTCATAGACAGAAGAATTCTTTATTGTTCTTTAAAATAATATTTGTATAATTAAAATTCAAATAAAAATAAAATAGTATATGCAATTAAAATTCTAATCGAATTCATTCACTAAACATTCAGGACAAATATAATACATTATAATATATTAAATTTAATATGCTTCTAATATGATCATGCTTGTAGTGCAATTAGTTTAGTAGTGCGTTTATTTATAATTTTAGACCAAATAATTCACAACTGTTAATTTAATTCCTTATAATTTTACTACAAATATATTTTTGGTAATTATGTGATTTATATAAAAGCACTTTACAGTTTTAAGAGTGAAATTAAAAAAAAAGGCTTTTTCCTCGAGTTATTTCAATGAAAGTAAAACTTTTACCTCAAAATTGTTTGTTAGGTTTTTGTTTCAAATCAACGGTTTCATTTTACCTTATTTAGGCAGCATTTCAAGAAGAAGATACTACTTAATTTTTTATAATTATTAGTTGATTATTGGTTTATTATCAAGTAAAAATTGATTATCGGCAAGTTTATTGCTTTAAACATAAAATTTTAATTTTGTAAGCTTAAGTTGAACTAATGGTGACTTTCTTCATATTATTATAAATATTATTTGACTATTAATTTTGAGTCTGCATAGTATCCTTAAAAAACTGATAACCTATTATTAATGAATGAAAATTGTCCTTTTCCGTTAACGTATTACCTGATAAGGGTGCAAATCTCAAATCATTTTTTATACAATTAAATAGTATGTTTCTCATATTTGTTCATATGCTTTAAGCCCAATAACTGAAAATTAAATTTCTTCTAATTTTACTACAAATAAATTATGGGAATTATCTAGTTGTCGTTTAATGTCTTTGATATTATATTACAAAAAATTCTCATTTTTGTTATTTATTGTCATTATGAAGCTAAGAGTTAGAAGTCATTAGGACAAAACTAATTAATAAATTCCAGTTAAATTACATCTTTAAATGCGAATATATAAAAAATGCAATTCAATTAACACATTTATGCATTACTGTTGCAAAATAGTAATAGATCCGTATAATTTCGAAACATATTTATATTTCAAACTTGCCAATTGTATTTCAACTATATATATTTTCAACTCGATTTCCAACATTTAACAAATCTCGTTACGGTTTTATTATTATTTTCAAATTTAATCACTATATTTTTACAACATAGCTAACGATGTGTCTACTCAAAATTCAATTATACTTCTTGATCACTTGAGCTAAACAAATTATTGCACAAATGTGTGAATATTCAAGGTTTTAATTAACCTCTTGTTGTCCGTTAGAAATGTATTGAATGTTGCCATTATGAAGTTCTTCTCTATAATTGACAACCGACACATGAAATGAACTTTTTAATCGAATTGATGGACAGTAAATCTTTGTAATAATATTTCTATGATTGATTTTTTGATTGTGTTAGATTTATTATTTATTCATGGATATGTCAAGGCTGCGGCAGTGGAATAGAAACTTGGAAGGAACTAGGGCGCGAATATAGGAATTTTCTTGCTAATATCGAAAATGATTAAATCATATTGTGAAATTATTTTGAAGGATAATATGAAGTGGACTCTTTGTATTTCAGAGTTTAAAAGTCTCAAAAAGAATTGATTGAATTTTTTTGCAGGACATTTCAGAAATATACTTGCCGGTGGTAACTATCTTAGGTGAAAATTTCGCACTTTATAGATACACCCTTCGGAATAAAATTATTGTATGATAATGCTAATGAATAATAAATGGATTTTTTTGATATAGACCAGGGCAATATCGATTTTTTCCGTTGATCGATCACACATTGTTTCTTCGTGCAGTGTATAGTAGTAGTAGAAACATATTTTAGGGAAATAATTGTTCCATTATTTTTATCAGATT